TCATACCCAAAACCTCACAAGTGTGCATTCTTGCTCTGGACTGGCCTAGGGGTAGGAGAGGCTGATAAGAGTTAACAACATCACTTTCAGTTCTGCAGCCTTAAAGAAACAAAGCCCCGTTTCCACCAAAGAAAGCTTTATTAAAGTTTTTTTTATTTATTAATTTGACAGAGAGAGGCACAGTGAGAGAGGGAACACAAGCAGGGGGAGTGGGAGAGGGAAAGCAGGCTTCCCGCCAAGCAGGGAACCTGACGCGGGGCTCAATCCCAGGACCCTGGGACCATGACCTGAGCCGAAGGCAGACGCCTAACGACTGAGCCACCCAGGCGCCCCCAAAGAAAGCTTTAAGATCCCTCCCAGCATATCCAGAGCATCCCAGTGCCACTTAACCAACGCAAGGATACAAAGAGTTGAACCATAATCTTCCTGTTAACCAGGGGTTCTCAGACTTTAGTATCCATCAGACTAAATTTGGAGGACTGTTTAAAAAGATTGCTGGGCTCCATCTCCATCAGTAGGCCTGGGGTAGAACCCCAATTTGTATTTCTAATAAGTTCCCACATGGTACTGATGATGGTGGTTCCAGCACCACACTTTGAGAACCACTGAGTTCATAGAAATGGTTGAGGTATGAGAACCCAATGCCAGGGCAGGAATGTGTGCAGAAATCTTTTCATGAAGTTGAATTGCCTGATAACCCCTGTGAAAATTAGGATTTTCTTTTTTCAGCCCCAATGTTTTCAACCCTGAACTCCCCTCTTTTTTATAAATTTATTGGTAGGGTAAATAGTTTTGTGAAGTTGTTTTTAAGCTTTTATGAGCCTGATCAAACCTACAGACACTCTCTACAGAAAAGCCCATATACACATACACAGAAACATTGCTTAGAATTTTAGGAGGTGCTGGGACACCTCTCCCACCAGCCCACCCACTGACACTGAGGAGTATCAATAGAAAAACTATGCCCTAAGGCAAAGTCTTGGGTTCACGTGGATGTAACAAAAAGTCCCTTCTTATACTTAACCTTTCAGTTAACTCATTTTTAAAACAAGAATAATAATATTCTTGCATCTAAAAAACTTTTTTAAAAACTTAAAAAATTTAAAAAAAATAATAATAATATTCTTGCATCAAAGTTTTTGAGGATTAGCTGATGTAATACATGAAAAGGCATAATTTGATAACCAGAAACACTAAATAATACCTTTTTTTCTCTCTTCATAGTCTTGTTACAATAAACTCTCATTCTTGAGGCAAGTGGATGCCTCTCCCTACTAAGGAAAGATCAGGAAGTATAAGAAAGAAGAGCCCTAAGTGTAACAGTTCAAGACCTTACTCTACTCCCATCACATTCTTCTGCTAAAATCTGGTCACAGGCTGCCATATCATGGTTCTCTCTGTGAGTCACTGAGCAATCGGATCTAGCAAGCCCAGGCCTGGCTCTGTGACCTGAGAGTCTCAATTTACTTGCCCTGAAATACTCCACTTTGCAAATGTCCAAAGTCTTGTCATGTCCCCATGTTAATGCCTCCTGGCAGAAAGATAGAAATGTAAAGTTCTAATAGGGGTTTGTTTCTAGGCTAAAAGATGCTGAGTCTTGAGAAATAGTGATTAAGGGTAAAGCCTGATTCTCACTATTTCTACAAAAGTAAATAAATACATTGATAGACCAATCAGCAGACATTGATTTAGCACCTACTGTGTACACTAATAGATGACACAAAGAGGAGTAACACATGTTCCTATGCTATGCCAACTCACAGCCCAGCAGGGAAAATAGATGTATGCAAAAATATACCAAACACAAAGTGAGCCTTGGCAAGGGCAATGATTGTGGTTCATACAGAGGTTCAAGAATACAGGAGAGAGAAATTAATTTTAACAGGGATCCGTTAAAGTCTCCTGGGCAGGGGGGGATTTTTAGCTGGCCCCTAAAGGAGGAGTGGGACTGCGACAGGTGACTATAATGGAGAAGGACTTTATAGGCTGTGGAAGTAGTTTGAAGAAAAGACTTAGAAAAGTGTTTGGTTTAAGTTTGCATAATTATGATTTAACAAGTGTGACTATAGTATAGGGGCGGGGGCGAGGTATCGAGCTTGCGGCCAGAGAGAGAAGTTGGAAACACGTTGTGGGAAAGAAACCAAAGGCCAAGTGAGGAGCTTTGGCTTTACTCATCGTGCAGCGGGGAAGGATTGAGGGTCTTTGATACCACAGGCAGATCTGTTTTTCCAAAAAGAGAGCTGGTGCCACTGTGAATAGATAATAGAGAGCAAAAAACAAATATAACCTGGTAAGGTGTTGGGTACCTGAACTAAAGCCAGAGCAGTTGGCAGTAGCCAGAAGGGTACCCGGGGCAGAAGTGTGTGAGAGGCTGCATTTTGAGAATGGTTGATGACACGTAGCAAAAAACAAACAAACAAACAAACAGAGGCAAGCTGAGAGGGCACACCCAACCCCAGGCAGGATTGCTGCATAGAGCAGACCATGGGCTCCGAGGAAGAAACTGGCTGGGGGCCCAGGGCCCAGAGGGTGAGGAATACCTCCTGGCTGTCCCAAGAAGACTTTTGTCCTTCCTAGAATTCCCAGAAGGGGAGCAACTGACCATCTGTTTTGTCTGCAAGGAATATCAAAATCACTGATGCCTGGACATGGGTCCTCAGCCCAGCAGCTTCAGAAGTCCTGCAGATCTTCTAAAATAACTTTCAGGCCCTTTCCCGTGGGATTTTGATCTGGAAACCTGAGGTGGGACCCAGGCATCCATTCTTTGTAAAGCTCTCAGGTGAATGTGATGCACATCTGGTTTGGGGAACCGCTGTGGGACCTTACTATTAGCCTGGGAGGTGTATAGAGACCCTGGCTCAGTACATACTTGTGCAGATGAAGACTGTGATAAGCTGAAGACCTTGGGCTTTAGTATCCAGCAGTGTCTCAAGCACAGTGACCCTCATCGAATGTCTCAGGAGGGAACCCCTCCTCCAACTCTAGGCCTCAGTGACCACACCAGGAGATGGGAGAGGCTGCACGCTTGATGGGGTCCCCTGAACGACCCAAGAGGACAATGTACATACAAGTCATTTTCACCCTTGTCCTCAGTTCAAAAAGGAGGGCTCGGCTGTGTCACAGGGATCCTATAAGAGAATCTTATTACAGGATGCTTTGAGACTTTAGAAGACAGGCTACATAATAATACTAGCCATTTTCTGCCAGGCTTATACAACATTCATAGTACTTTCACTGCTATTTTTGTTTTTATTTCTCAGAAAGATAATGCAGTACAAAGGTAAGGCTGGTTAAACGGATCCCTTCTGGACACTGGGCTCTGTGTGATTTGGTGACTCGTGCAAGGTCAGACAAACCAGAGCCAGTTCTGAACCCGCCATCCTCCCGAGCTCCGGTTCTGCTTCTGGGCCATAATGGAGAAGGGTAACATAAAGGCATTTTTCTCTCCTTGTAAAAGAGGGAAAAAATGGGGGGAAGGGGGAATTATTTAAACACACCTCACTCATACTGCAATCACTGCATTGTTTTTCCTGTTGAAACACCCTGTTGGTTTTTAAATCCCTTTAAACCTACCCGGCACCTGTATGGCCCAGATCCAAGAATTATTACCGAACCCTTCATTTTTTATATTTAGCCACATAGGGGTTTCTGTGATGGTATCTGGCTCTCGGTTCAGTTGAAAATTTCAGAGCTTCCAGAAGTTTTCTTCTTCCATAGAAGCTAGAAGCATGCAATGCTCAGACATGATTTCTTAAATTTTTTATTTTTATTTTAATCAAATATGTCTCCCCACTTCGGTTCTCCTGCTGGGTAAAATGGTATCATGGCACCACCCTGTATTGTTCCTGTGTGAAGATCCTCCTGAAATACTGACCAAAAGAAAGGGCAGGGGAGGGGTGGGGGAGGGGTGGATGGTCTCCATCAGCAACTTATGGTTTGTGGGATGACCTCTCTTCAGGGCAAGAACTGAGGCTGAAAACATAATGAGAACTTCCCAGCAAATTCATTATAACACAGCATAATGTGAGCTCACTGGGCACAAAAATAGGCTGAAGGAAAGTGACTCCCACATAAGACCTAATTAAATACTTTGATGTCAGAAAGCGGAGCAGGGAGGGGTGGAAAATCAAATCAGACCAAAGTGAAGGACCTAAATTCAAATGGAAAGAAGAAATATTTCTCTCTCTCTCTCTCCCCCCTCCACTTCCCCTCCACACACACGACCCCCCCTACACCCCCCACCCCCCCCCCCCCCCGACCCCTGCACTGCCTCTTTCTCGGTGCCTCTGTCTCTCTTCTTTTCTTCCTTTGCTGTGAAGGAAGAATAAGATTCAGGAACAATAGGTTGTAAATTCTTCAGCAAATTAGTCCAGTAACTTACTACTGTTTATAATGCACAGAATGTCACAGGCTGGTTTGCAAACTCCCCAAGTTGGTTTGTTAATAACAGGAAGCTAGCACTTCTCAGTACAGTGGATCAGCTAGCTACACGGGAAAATAAATGCAAAAAACCTGGAGGGGAATAGCAGCAGACCAAGAGTAGCCTTGATTTAATTTAACATTTGGGGGTCCACACACAAATGAGCATTTTAGTAGGCTTCATGGTGGAAGTTGCTGTCATTTGTAAAATATTCTGGCCAATTAGCTAATAGTGTGCTTGGATTTCTCCTGTTTTGATACAGTAATACTAAGTACATTGTGAAGCCCAATTATACAAATCATCCCCATATGCCATACCAGTCTTTCTTTATGAACTGTGTTTATAAATCCTGTGTGAGGAAATGTGTACTTCAGCAATTTAGACCATGTGTAAAAACATAGCCAATGGGATTGTCAAGAAAACAAGTTCCAGCCTAGGAAATCCTAATGTGTTCCGCTGGAATAACAGGAGGGTGCCGGGGAGTGCAATGCTCTGCTTAAATACATATTGCTTTATAGTGTTTAGCCAATTTAGGGGCTTCCGCTTCCCTTTCTGTTACTTTATTCTTCTTTTCTTTTAGGATCCAACCTTGGAGTTTTTGAGAAAATTTGGGATTGGTCTTCTCTCGGGCACAATAGCCTCAGTCATTAACATCCCTTTTGATGTTGCCAAAAGTAGGATTCAAGGGCCTCAACCAGTTCCTGGAGAGATCAAGTACAGAACCTGTTTTAAAACAATGGCAACAGTCTACCAGGAAGAAGGGTAACATTCTTATTTTAATAAATGTGCAGGACTCAAGTACTGTTAAAAGCATATCGTACTTCCATTTTGCTGAGCGCCATTAAGCCCCTCCTAAATCGGGTGTGTGTGTGTGAAAAGCTCTAGAGAATAATGATAAACTTTGTGAGATAACACAATGATGAAATGTTGGCAACATGTTCTTACACCATCCAGAACCTTGGGCCACCATCATACAACCTGCTGCATGTTTATCTTAGAATCTTCAGATGAACCTTTTTCTTGTCAGTTTGCATAATATGCTATAATACACCCTGTTAACACGTGGGCAGGAGAATGATTGTCTTCTAACTGTAAATCTAATCAAAATGTCACCTCATTAGAGTCCCCTGGGAGAATTAAACATGAGAGTTCTGTGCAAGTAGCTTTCTTTCAAACATCTGAAGTACATGTTTTTTCGGCTAGTCTTTTTTTTTAAGTGTTACATCTGTCTCTTCATCCCGCCTCACTCAGATCTTATTCTCAAGTAAACGAGTAATATTTTATTATTTCGATCTACACTATGTCATCTTTCCTTTTGTGAAGACTGAGTTTGTGGTCTTTTAAATTCCATTACAAAAGTCATTTTGTCCATATACATAGCTGTCTTGAAAGTAAGACCTGTGCTCATAGCAAAAACCATCTTGCTGAGGAAAGTCATATTTCTGGTTGGACATGATCAGCATAGCTTGGGCAATAAAGAATTCATTAACTCTTTCCCTTTGTCCAGTTTGCTGCAGAAAATATATAGCCAGATATTGCCTGGTCTGGGATATGTGTGATTTCAAATAAATTTTCTTGTAGATGCTGGGTCAACATCTCAATAAATCTGGTCCGTTCTATTTTCAGAATTCAGAATTAATTTCAGAATTAAGAATTAAAAATGTTGCTCTTTCCCTTCTTATTATAGGATTTTAGCTTTGTACAAAGGCCTGCTTCCCAAGATTATGAGGCTTGGACCAGGTAATGATGTCCTTATTACTTCTATCCTTCCTTCTTTGTTGTTCTGCTGTCTCTTTTCTTCTTGTGTCGATCAGCAACATGGTATGTTGATCACACTGTCAAAGATGGAAAACAGGAGGATATAAAGCTATCTACGAGTATTCAAGACACTGAAGGCATCCATTAGAAATGTTTTCCACCTTTGTTTATAAGGTACTGTTTAAGACTTTGCTGGAGGCTGGCAGAAGCCAAAGCCCAGCTTAAGTCAATAGGAAAGGCTCCCCAGCCAGTTGGAGTTTGAGTGAGCAAGGAGGCTCTGGGGGAGGATTTTCACTGAGCCCATAAAACTCTCCTGGTGCCCCCCCACCACAGTTCATTCTTGTTCCTGCCTCAACTTCATTTCAAAAACAAAAAAGAAGGGTAACTTGCCTCCACGAAGCGAGGCTCAAGAACTTCTTGTCTTCACGGTCCCCCGGGAGGGCTGCGGTGAGTGTAGCGCCCAGGGAGTGGTGGCAGGGCAGTCTGGCGCTCACCTTCCCCGTGTCTGTCAGCATGATGGTGGAGGCTCCTGGCTCAGGGCCTTACCTGCAGACGCCAGCCCACAAAAAACCGGCTGCCATTCCCACAGGGAGAGTCAGCTGCCTCTATGTAAATAGATAGGAACGTAACTGCTGCAGACCCAACCACCTAGGCAAACAGTCTTGGATTATAAGCAATCCTGTGTCTCAGTACAGGAGTAGGTGCCAGCCACACTCACCTCCTTAGGTGTCCTGGTGTCCTCTCCCAGAAGCGTCCCCTACCCCTCGCCCCTCTCCCCTTCCCTTCCTCCCTTTTACCACCACAGTCCTGCTGCCCTACCACACTCGCACACAGGCACATTTACCGTCCTGGAATCTCAGCTCAGTGAGCCAGCATTTCTACCATCCTGAGGTAGAGGACAGCTCACCCTTTCGTGTATTTAGAAAACACTTCCACAATTCTTGGTCCATCTATCCCAGCCTTTCCAGGCATTTAAGCGTGGATTTTGCTTCACATTTGAGATGGAGACTTGCCTCCTGCTAGTCATTGGCCCGTGTGTAAAAACAAAGCCAATGACAAAGAATATTGGTGATTTTGTGCAACTCTCTCTGCGACCAGGTGGCGTTTTCCCTTCACCACACAGTAAAACCCTGACGGTAGACCTAGTGTTAGAGAAAATCATAGGAATGACCCTAACCCAGCTTTCTCAGGAGGGGATGGGCCTGAAAAGAGTGGTGATCAGAGAGAGTTTACCTAAAACAGTAATTGACTGGAACCTTAATCCAAAACTCTTAAATAATCTGACCCCAAGTTTTGTTAGAGGCTTGCAAATGTTTGGTTGGCTTTTTAAATGTGTTTGCATGAGGTATCCTGAGTTGCTGTGGTGGTAAATACAATGAAAAGGGCTGTTGTGAGTGGACCGTCCAGGCTAAACAAAACTGTGAATGACTGGAAATCTGCTTCAGGGACCTGGCCTCCACTCACATGTAAGTCCTCCAAACATGCAAGTCCCAGCAGCTTTAAAGGAAAGAGAGGTGGACGGAAAAGCATGACATTTGACTTAAGGATAAGATTTTTTTTTTCAAAGAGAGAGTAAAAAAGTGAAAGAAAGGGTAAATCTGGGATTTTCATCCTTCATTGTAGGAAGCATCCATCCCATCTTCTTTTTATAACAGCCTCGGCAGCTCTGTGTTGCTCACAATCAGTCACCTGCCATGAAAGGAGGCTCTTGAAGTCTGTGGTTTAAACTCCAAATATCACCAGGCTGAAAACTAACCCAATTCTGCATGTTCTTGTCTTACGTTGAGAACAGTTAATAAAAGTAAACACTGCAATTACATAGGTATTGATAACCCTCTGTTAGTGGGTCTTTTTTTGTTTGCCAGAGTGCCAAGAGGGTTACGGCAGCTGAGAGGGGTCTAATAGAGTATCTTCATGGGTTAAAAATGAAAACAGGCAGATAATTATCTTTGGTATAAGGTTACACAAACATGTGTGGTCTGTAGATTAAAACACACACACACACACACACACACACAAACGGCAGTGTGTACAAAATAACTAAGATCAAAATCAAGTTATTTTTTTTTCATCAGAAGTCAATCTTCTGTTCATGCAGCCAAGTCATCTTGAGGTTGTGCTCAGGATATTTGTCCACATTTTGATTTTGTAATATTTTTTACACAGACACGAGAGGATAGATAGATTACATTAAAGAGCATGGGATATGTGCCATTTTATTGCATCAGGTAGAACACACATGCAAAGGCCTCTCTCGATTTCTAGGTATTCTGCAACCTTGGTGTTTGTTTTTCTGTGTCATAGTCCTGTTGACCTTTCAAGACAAATACTGGTCTGTGACACCCAAACCCCACCACTAAATTTTCAAGTGCAATCCACTCATATCTGAGGCAAATAAAAGGAATAAAAGCAAAAGGAGGTTGAAAGCTAGCTATATTTTGTAATACACATATTTTAAAATATTCTGAAGCTATTTTTCACATTGCAATCCACTTTGAAGGCTATTAGAAAAAATCAGACTCATCTATCAAGCACCCTCTTAGAGCTTTCCTTCTTGAATGCAGCTAGGATAATGCTAATTATGGACTGAAAAAGATAAATCCTTTGCCTACATATGAAAAGTATGAATGGTTTCTGTTTGCAGGAACGCCACATGCCCTTACATGACTGAATGTGTCTATATTTATTTACTTTTAAAAATTAAAAGTGCCTGAAAAAGAATCTGATGGAGAAATGATGAAAGTTACAGAAACTCATGGGGAAAAAATGTATTTGGAGACTCAAGATGGTCTTGATTTTGCTCTGAGAATTTTCCACAATGGCTTTATATCGATGTATTAGAGCCCAGGGACTGAGAAGTCTACATAGCCCCTGCCTGATAGGCTGCATGGGACTTCACAGATTCAGAAACCCAGTGGGGGAAAATGACACTAGTTTGCAGGATTTGAGATAAAAACCAGCTCTTTTCTTTTCTAGGTGGTGCAGTGATGCTGCTGGTTTATGAATACACCTATACATGGCTTCAGGAGAACTGGTGATTGCCTAGGAGAGGTTGAGATCATGGATGTTTGCTGTACAGCACCATAAGGAGAGACTAGCAGCTCAGCTGATATGATCATAAATTCTAATTATACAATTATGTACAGTTATTAAGGGGAAACAGTTTATTCAAGAACAAAACCTATTTTGATACTTCAAAAATTATCTCTACACAATTTGAGACTGTAGTTTTGTCTATATCCATAAATCTGTGCAAAGAAAAATAGTATGAATGGGGTATGTAAATCGAACACAGAAAATAGCATAGAAATCAGATATATTTCATAAAAGCTATATAAATTTTGTGATCTGTATTCCTCTTACACCGCTTTGCAAAGAAAATTCATTGTATCGATAATTATTTTTTCCCACGAGGTCAAGAAATGCTTAGAGTAATAAAAAAAATTAAGCCAAAATTTGAACAGTTTTTATAAGGAATTAAATTCTCCCATAAATAATATTTAAAAGGCACAAGGAAGTGTTTTTAAAGTACACTAAAATGGCATTTTTAAAATGTTGGATTTTATGTTAAAATTTAAATCTGGTGGTGTTCTTTGAGTAATAATACATATCACAGCTATATTTTCCCAAAGCCACTTTACATTTTGCACTGTTGTTTAAAGCAGGTCATATTTTTAAATCCTGATACGTGAAGTTTTTTATGGCAAATAGAACACATGAAATTTCCCTCACATAATTCCCTTTGAAAACAATTTTTGTTGCTGAACTATTTTCATGTTAAAACACAAATTGGAACCAGGCCTTGGGCCCATTTGTGCTGTCCATATTTGCATCCGGATATCTTTGGTCAGAACTCTTACCCATGCCATTCTTAAAAAAGAGTGTTTAGAGTAAAACTACATTTCCAGGTTATTAGTTTTAAGTGACAGCTTCAGGCGTGAAGTCAACTATCTGTAGTGTTAAAATATGTACTATGAAGGGGAAAATGTTTCAAAATAGAAGTACATTCTTAGCATTTCCAAAAATTCCTGTACTAACATGCACTCTAAGAAATATCTCCTTGGCATTGATATCACCAAACTTGATTTTATATTTGCATCCTGAAATGATGCTACTTCAGTAGCTAAAGTCAACAAAAATATCTGCCCATTCTAGATGACACCTGTTCTTAACTACTACTGAGGGATGTTTCTACCATTAGACTATGTCACTAAAGCATTTTGAAAATAAAAAAATAAAAGATAACATGATAATTATTACTTTTTATTAATTTAGAGCATTTGAAGTATAAAAATAAAGGCTTTTTAACATACTGTATATACATACACAGCCTTCAGTTGTACATCCTTTCCAATGTGTTTTTTAACTTATATTTCAGCCCAATATTTCATAAGGTCATTAAAAGTAGAAGAAAAAAAAAAACAAGAGAAATAAGAATGTGTCTGTTGTACAACTGCATTCTATCCTTGCAGGTAATGCTCTTGCATCCTGTGAGGGAGAGAAATGCCCGCATAGAAGCCATGAAATTGAACCTTTAACCTCTCCCTGTGAATGGGATGGAAAAGGATCTCTGAAGAGTGCATTTGCCAGTTTAAAAACAACACTTTTACCCCCTAAGAAACAAGGAAATATGTCAACATTAGCCAATAATAATAATGTTTAAAAATCAAACAATCCCAATCCCGTACCCCATCCCATTTTCCTTCTCTTATTTTTAAAAGTAGCTTTAAATCATATTTTCCTTTGAATAGCAAATTATATTTTAGCTTTCTGTTGTCTTTCTTAAGTTACTCCATGTGAATTCACTGTTGCTAAGAAAAGACCTGGGGGAAAAAGAGAAGAAAAAAATCTTGATATCATTAACATTAGATTTTCTAAAATACAAGAACCAGAAAAAAATTATAAATAGCATTAACAAGAGATTTCTTAATTTAGATAAAGAAAATATTTCATTGTGTTTCCATACAAATGATTGGTATTTTTTTTTTAAAGACTCTTAGTAGCCATCTAAAAACTATCTGATAAGGGATAATTCTATACCTATGTCAGCTTTTCTGGACAGCAGGAAGAGTCCCTGTACAGTTATGGTTTTAAAGTCTCCACCAAAATATTGGACTGGTATCTCTGTTCCATTCAGTTTATAGTCTATTTTCTCACCAGACTGGGAACTCCAGATGTCAATAGGAGTTTTATAAGATCAAAGGAAGACTATGGCCCTGAGAGTTCATCTGCTCCTTCTGCTTATTCTTCTCCTGAAGTTATAATCCTCTGTTTGTAGCAATGAATTTTGGTTGCTTTAGAAATAAATGCAGTTCAAAGCTCTCTCTATAAGATATCTTTTGCTTGAAACAAGCAATTCCTCGAATATAACTTATGTGTCAGAAATCTGCTTACTGTTTATACGCTAGTGATCTGAAAGCCTCGCTCGTCTAGCCATCTGAGTTTTAAGTGAAGCCATGAAACCAATGTGACGGAACCGGATTGCCGTGTAGACTGTGCACAGCACAGACAGGAAGAAAGCAGGATCACCTCACGAATGCATCTTTAAAATCCACATCTAGTGATGTGCCCTTTTAGTTATTGCACAGAATTAATACCAAAAAAAACCCCACAATATATTAATTTTCCAATAGATGAATTGTACCAGTTTTTAAAATGTAGTTTCAAGCCTACATATTGCCAAGCAGGAAGAACTTTCTAAACAGAAGAGAAAAACTGTAGAATTTTGCCCAAGAAAAGCAGTTGTTTTAAATACAACACATAGCACATGCTCACACACACACACACACACACACACACACACACACACACACACGTGTACACCCCACAGCTCTGCTATTAACATTAAAGTGAAAATCCCATTGGTCTAGAAAGACTCATCAGCTAAACTATGTCCTGTAACTCCAGAAATGAATAAAGGGAATTTAAAAAAAATTAAATAGCATTTGTATTTCTAATACCACCACCAGTTTACCTACATGTGAAACATGCTTCTGTACAACAATGTAAACTTCACAGCAAGCCGTTTTTACATTCATTAGAGCAGAATTTTCCATTTTCTTTAAATTACAACATAATTTTGGGCTGAGATTGCTGAAGACACAGGTAAGCCAACAATAACAGTACAATTTAGTTTCACAGTGGTTTTCTTAACATAAAGTTCATTTTAAGTGTCTTTGCAAAGCATTTCACATTAAACTTAAGTTTCTAAGTGACTTCCTTTAAAGCCTTCTTATTCAGATATTTTCCACCCTCATGTCTTTATATGCTTGGCATGTGTGTTGTTTGATTAGGATACAAAATGGGAGACTGGCTTGTTTAATCTGTTTTTGAGTCCTCTGCTGTAGAAAGAAAATGTCCTTCATAAGATGTTGAAGCCTTCACTGCACACACAAAATTTGGGGCAAGTCCAGGTCCAGGAGCCCGAGCAGCCCACCACCAAACAGAGACAAAGACGTTGCCAGAAAGTCACCTTTGCAAAAAGAAAGAAAAAAATAGATGGGGGTGGGAGGGAGGGGGTATGTCCCATGGAATGAAAACACAAATGCACCATCCAGAGTCCGTATTTACAAACTAATAGAAAATATAAACATTATTGTATTTGGAACCAAGTCAAAACACCAGGAGGAGCTAAATTCAGATATTGCTTGTGTTACACATTATATTTTCCAACAAAATAGGTCATCTCTTAAGAATAAACAAAGCATCACTCAAACAAGTCAATTATTGATTAGTTTCCTAATGATGAATTAAAGCTTATTTGGTCACCTTATTTGATTAGAGGGTGTAGCATAACTTTTTTTCTATATGTATTTTCCTTTATTGATTTTGCAAAATCTCAACAATTGCACGTTTCAAAAGTTCAGGTTGATTTAGAATAAATATACACATGTGGTTTTACCAAAGACTAGTTTTAAAAGTTCCTTAGCCCTTTGAGGGGTGCAGGTTTCTTTGCTACGTTAAAACAGTGTGTGGGCAACACAAATGTCTCATTCAATCCTTAAGATTGCTTTTGTTTTCAAATCCTAAAGTCATGTCAGGTTTTCTGTAAGAGAGAAGTTATGGCAAGAAATATTTAAGTGTCATCAGCACAAAGGATGTGAGTCCGTAAAGCCAGCTTTGGGGGCGGGAGGGCAGGAGGGGTGGGATCCGAGACCAGAGAAGAGGGGGAGGGTGTGCTGAGGGGAGACGGGGTGAAGCTGCCGCGCGGACAGAATTTCCCATCAGAGTGCAGAAGCCGTGACAGAGTGACTACCTTCTCTGGCTGCCTGCATTCCCTTGAACGCCAGCGATGCGGGAATGTCACAGTTGTGGGGGGAGAGTGGGGTGCCACTGGCATGTTGCCACCCGTGTCCAGCCACATAACCGGAAGGAGCGGCGCTGTAGGTCATGTAAGGCGACACCTGGGCCGGGCTGGGGTAAGGAGCCATGGTGGACGCAGACACAAAACTGCTGACAGCGGGTAGACCGTTTGGTGCCTAAGAGTAGGAAAAGAGAAGAGGTGAAGGTAATCACATTGTAGGAGTTGACATTTCACCAGTTTTCAGAAAGTGGCAGAATGTAAGTTCTGAGTAGTAGTAGCAGCAATATTCTGACTCTACTTTCTGATTTTTTTTTCAATTTGATGCTTACATTCTACATGCATCCCCAGTCTTGCTACTTAAACATAATGCCAAAAGGCAAGACATTATATTCCTTCCACAGACGTTTTGAGGAGGCTACAACCAGAAAATTCACAGTATTTGCTTTGCTATTTGGAATTATAGGAAGGAAATAGAGGGTGAGGAAAGAATTAATGGTGATTAAATACTCTCAGAAGCTGTTCAGCTATCCGAATGCCTTTGTCAACCTTCCCTGTACTTTGGTTTTGTTTGGCTCTTTTGTTGAAGCATTGGTGAAGGGCCTGGTTGGTGTAGCTTTCATTTCCAGTAAAGAAGGGCACAGAGTGTAAGCTGTCACTTTAGAAACTCAAAATGAACACGACCTTTGTTAAATAAAACATGGGCTGTATTTTAAAATGTCAGGTTGAAAATGCCTGTTGGACAAAGGACATGCAAAATCAGGCAGTTGTCTTGTAAGAGTTTTTACATGAAGATTGGGGGTATTTTTTTCCAGAGCTGTTCTATCAAAAAAGAAACTGTCTATTGGAATATAAAAGAACTGCATATGTGTGGTTTTAAAATTGGAAAATTAGTTTGCAAAGTTTTGGGGTCCTGTGATAGGAATTTTTAAAAGCTACATGAATAAATCTCTTGAAATGAATTGAAATGTAAAATCTTAGTTTGCAGACAAAATGCAGCAGCCCTGGCAAGCGATTTTGCCCAGAAACCAGCACTCTCTTGGCATCCAATAAATTATTGTCGGTATTGTTACTATCAACAACAACAAAAACACCCTGATTTCTAATCCTGATTCTAGCATGAACACTTGGCATCCTCCCCCAAGTAACTTATTTTTTTCCCCTCAATTTCTACATCATTTAGAAATAAAGAGTAAATCTTTTCCCTGATAGTGATGTGAATTAACATATCAACATATTTCCTAGTGAGAGTGTAATGTAAATATTAGAATTACTAGTAGTAAAACCGATCAATCCTTAGAGGTAAGAAGAGCAGACATGTTAATTAGATAGTTTTCCAATTCGATTGCAACACAAATTATTTTCCAATTTAATTCATTTGGTTATTATTTTCACTTCCACATCTATGAGAATGCAATGATGGGCTCTCAAAAATGATTTTGTCAGTTTAGGGTAATACACAGAGTAGAATAAACACATGGGTATGACTTAACACTGCTCATGGATTTCTGACGAAATAATAAAAGTAGAGGGATTATCCTTATGTACTTGGTCTGTAAGAACACACCCCCTGTTCTGGTTGTCAGAGGAAAGGGAAAGGACACTAAGGCTTTTTGAGTATGTCCTATGTCCCAGGCACCAAGAAATATCCAACATATTTTATGGAATAATGAAGACGGATGAACTGTAACTCATTATAAACTACTGGGTTTATAATAATGATAAGATAATATGTAATGATTACAATGCAATGTTCAATTGAAATTAAAATGTATAGGATGGTGCTCTATTTTTTAACAAAGAAATCAGTGCACATCACTTTAAAATACAAATGAAATCTTAGTCTCTTCTTATACGCAAGAATGTAGATTAAGGAATTTAGCCATTTATCCTGGGCCAATTGGCAAGTCAATGGTCATGTGTTAAAAGAAGTTACCACCCCTGTCTGACACGGGATCTTCTGTAGCAGATCTTTTCCTGCTTTTTCCAGGGCAATTAAAAGACAGACACAATTTAATATCAAACTAGAGCTTCTTTTGAGATAACATCTTGTAAAAGATTCTCCTTCTAGAACCCTATTCTCATTGTTAGATCCTCATTCTAATTTCTAAAAAAAAAAAATCTTTTCTCCCTTTCTGAGGATGGCTCATCAGAGAATGGCTCAAAGGAGACACACTCTAAGGCTCTCAGAAGATGAGTAAGATAGCTATCAAAGTGCAGAAGAAATCTAGCATTGCATAGAGATTATAGTTCCAATCATGTTTGTGGACGATTTTCCCAATAACCCATAAGAAACGAGTTTAAAAAGGAATTATTCCAGTCCACTTATAGAAACGTATTTGCATCTGTATTGGCCTCTTCCATTCTAGATTAATTAATATTTTATACTGTTGACACCAGTGTCACCAAGAATCGTAAAATAAGAATGTTAAGGTTAAAATTATTTTTGAAATAGTGAAAACCTTTGCTCAACACTTTATAAGTACATCAGGTTAAACTATGTAATATTATACATGACAGAAACAATGCTCTAGTTAGCCAAAAAAATGTGTTGACAAATTCTAATTTTCATGACAGCTGAATTTTTCCTACCCATTCTTTCTTCTTCGCATTTTTTCCATCATCCGCAATTACAGTTTCCCCTGAAACACTTGCTTCGTCATCTTCCCCTCCTCCCCTTCCACCCTTGCCCTTGGAACAACTGCTCCTTGATGTGCCCCCTTTATCTGGCTGTTCTGTTGCAATGTCTACAGTCCCCTTACCTGGTGGACCCACTTCTTTTTGCCCTGAAACATACCCCCCTGAGAAATTGGGCTGGATTGGACTCTCATCTTACATAATGCTCCTGGGATTCAGCGGGAGGAAGAACACTGGATTTAGGCCTGTGTTACCTTCAGGTGCCTCACTTATTCTGTGACTACACTTGTTTGTCGAGCATAAAATAAACACTACTAATTTTTCCATATTTGTCCAAATGCTCATACTTAAGGCACCAAATTTGCTTTTATGTTAGTATTACTATTAGTATTAAGTGTTTCAAAGTTCTCTAAAATCCACAACATATTTAGAGTCATTTTAGTGATGCAGTCCCTCTGTCTTGCAGAAAGGATGAGTAAGAGGGGAAGCTTAAGGAGGTCTGATCTCCTCATCTTGCCGAGGAGGCAAAAGCCTTTGCTTAAAAGAAAAAAAAAAAAAAAACCCACAGAAATCTTCAAACAGTATAAAAATAACTCTTAGCTTTCTTTCCCTCAGGTTAAATTATGACCCAGATTTGGGGTTAAAAAGTTTTGTCTTAATTTTCCTTTTTACTTTTAAAGGTCAGATTTAGAAATTTAGAAAAAGCAGCATAAGAAAGATGAGATGACAAACATGCTTTAAAATGTACCTGCCACCTTCACTATTCATTCATTCTAATGACTCAATAAACCTATCAATTTTCTATTAATTTTGAAACATGACATCGGTAAAAGATATAAATCTCTACTGGATAAAGTAATTGTTATTTATGAAGCAATCACTGAATGAGTAAAATTTTCCACCACAAAGGAAAACAACTACAGGTAGCATTGATGTTTGTTTATTCTTTCCAGTAAAAGAGTACATAACTTAAACTTCCCAAATCTGTTTAATGTTTTCAGTGAAGGGCATGTAATTAATCTGAAAAGCTAGTTAGGCTGAGTAGAGACTACCAAATGTACACCATAAATATAGTGGGAGCAAACATGCTAAATTACTCTATTTAATTGGATTGTAAATATAATTTATAAATCAACCAACATATGGAATCCCCAGAAAAGAGTAAACAAATTTTCCAAATGAAACCCCAGCAATGGGCATGTAATGGAAATCTCATTTTTGAAAATGACTTTACCTAAAGATTCCATAAATAAGACCTCAATCCATCCACCCCTTTTTTTATGTGGATCTTCCATAAAAGCCATGAGAATCCTCTCCCGCCAGAGAACTATATAAGGATCCTCCCTGAAGCAAACTCTCTTCTACATAATTTTGAGAATGAGATTTACGAATTCAAAGTAAAATATACCAAATTGCATACCCTAAAAAGAGTAAGTTACTTGCTTTGTTGAATGTTTTTAGAAAAAGATTTTATCTCACTGTCATTGAAGAAAATAGTCTAGAAAAAAACACATAAAATACAATGTCCAGTTAAGGTTTGAATGAAAGCATGAGTTTCTCATTTTACTTGTTGTAAAATGTTAGAAATATAGATTTGTCACTTTTTAAAAATATGTTTTTAAATTAGTACGTTGAGAAGCTGTACTGGCAGAGAGCTAGACTACAAACAGTTTGAGGACAGGAGCTTGCCTTAATCATTTCAACATCCTCATAAAACGGGACACGTCATAGCTGTTTCATAATCATTTGTATACCTAAGTTAGTGCAGCCTTTTGAAAGCAGAAGATGCGATACTCTTGCTTTAAAAAAACAAAACAACAACAGGAAAACTCTTTATCACAGAATTGGTGTTACACTTTAAGTAAGCAACATGAGTAAAGCCTTTGAAAAAAGTAAATAAAAAGTTCTAATGTAGCCCTTCACTATTTGATTTATGCTTGTTCCATTTATTCACCACCACCCCCGAAAATGGAAATGCATTAATATCCAAACACTTCTGGCCACAAGAAAAAAAAAAAACTGGTATGACAACTGTCTGGCAATTACAAGTTATAGACCAGTAGTTTTCACATTCAGGGCATTGTCTCCTCAACATTTTCTCTCTTGAAGAAAATGCAGATAGCACTGCCAAGTGCTATACCCACAATCTTTCATCCACTCATCAGTTCTACCTGGTCCTCCCCTTATGATAAAGTGAGTTTACTTTGGCTTTATCATAAAGTAGATCTAGCCACAAATAGAGATGTGCTTCACCTAGAATTTAGCCTCCATATCATTAGCAAGAAAGTTTCAGATCGGAGAATAAACAAGATTTTCTCCCTTTTTTCGGTGTAATCTTTTTTGTTTGACTGTTGTTCTACCCTTCCTAGTTCATTATGCAATGACCTAGTGAAACAAATATCACAAAGTGAAATGACGGTTGTAAAGTATGGTTTCAACATTCATCCAAAAAGTTCTTATTTATGCTGAGTTATCACACTGCAGATCTAAATGTCTTTAGGTAATGGAAAGCTGCTATTTAAATTTTTTTCTTAAGTTTTGTGTTTCCAAAATATTGAAATTAAGGTAGCCTTGAAAAAATTTCAAATTACTTTTTTTTGTATTTTATATGACACATTTTACTACTACATAATCATTAATCTTGTTTTAAGACACAAATAGTTAAAAGCAACCCAGGTCAAGGAATGTTTTTCATAAGAGATAACATCATGAATTTCAAGTCTCTTTAGTGGCATTTGCCTACAGTTGGATTCTCTACAAAATTATAAATTATTTAAGACAAAATTAACTTTATTTCATATGATGAAAAATCCAGTGCAACTTCATTTATATTTTCATGAAAACAGTATGTCTGCAAGGACAAGCAGTGTTTAAAATAATGCACTAGAAAATTATATTCATGATTCTGAAATACTATCTTTATTTCAAATACAATACACAAATGAATGTTCCGTAAGAATTCCAGATTAATTTGACTCCAAATCCAACCATTTTCACAACTTGTTTAACTCTAAAAATAAACTTTTTCTTAAGTTCAAGTTTGTATAGACTATTCCCCATCTCTGACATTTCAATCTGTAGCTAATGTTATATTAAACTTGCTGTCTGAGTTAACATACACTACCCAAAATTGGAGATACTCAAAGCTTGTAAATCTAACGTTCAGATTATTTCAGTTAGAGTACCAGATATGCAATATAGTTTTGCTGAGAAAATATGCCCAATTGTAGAAAATGTTTCAAGAACTATACAACTATTTATAGACTCTTTAAATAAAATGAAGCATTAATTCACTAAGTACCATGTAAAAGGGGAGATATATTCCAATCCCCCCCTTTTCTTTGCCTTGCAATTGCATTCAGTAGAGATTTTGTTTTCAACAGAAGAGAACCAGCATTAAGAACCAGAGAACATGGTTGCCATTCAGAATTAGATGAGATTAAGCATTTCTGGCCCAATATTAAATGCAGGTGAAAAAAGCCAAAACAAATAAATCTTCTTCTTCTTCTATCCTCAAGGGTAGACAATAAGAACTTCTGAATGGTAATATAAAATATTGACTTCAAAGTAATATTAATCAGTAAGACAAGTTTGAATATTCTATATTAGTATTTTAAAAAACAGAAGATAGGTGTGTATACAGCTGAATGTGCATAAGGTTCTAATTACTAGCGATCAGGCATCTTTCTTTTTTTTTTTTTTGCAGTTTAAACTGAAAATAGGAACTCTAGATTATGGTAATCACTAGTACCTACAATCAGTTGTCAATTCAGTCCGTTTGGTAATTTACAGGTGTCTTCTGGGAAAAGATTATGCTCTAATTCCTAGGATTCTGAATTCTCAATTTCCTCCTCTATATACTAAATTGAAACTGGGATCAGATAGTATTGCACTATTAATAAAAGTTATAAATGCCCTGAGAGTATTATGTGCATAATTTTTGAGAATGTCAAAAACTTTCAAATTTTGTTCATAATACAAATAGAGGAGAAATGTTACTTGAGTTTACATTTTTGTTGTAAAAGTGTACTTATGCTGATAACATTTTGAAAAATAACTTTTAAAAATAAAGCTGCCCTTTGAATATTGGTAAGAGAAATGCACGTGTGTATATACAACACACCTTACCGTTGCTTCTTTGTTTATGAGCAAGTATTAGTATAGAATTTTACACTCAAGGAAATCAATGTCTAAATTCCAAAACCGCTTACAAAATGACACAGCCTAAATTTGTGTGCCTACTTAGCACACCTTCATCATTAAGCACAATTTTGATAATTATAATAGAGTAACCACTGATTTAATTGTGCTTAGAAACTTTTCAAGTTTTGAAATTTTACATCATCTGAATTATATTACTACATGGCAATGCAGAAGATTAGCATACTGCAATTAAGAAGTTTCCAAATTTGGGGCGCCTGGGTGGCTCAGTCGGTCTGTCTTCAGCTCAGGTCCTGATCTCAGGGTCCTGGGATCGAGCCCCACGTCAGGCTCCCTGCCCAGCGGGGAGTCTGCTTCTCCCTCTGCCCCTCCCCCTGCTTGTGCTCTCTTTCTCTCTCTCAAATAAATAAATAAAATTTTTAAAAAAGAAGTTTCCAAATTTAAGATATAAATATCTTTTTCTTCTGGAAGAAAAATTAACTTGTTCTCTTATGTATTTAGAATAATACTTATTTTGCCACTTATGTCTTTCATTTGTTTGCTTTTATAAATCTCATAATTTAGTGATATAATGTTTAGTGTTTAAATGTAATCAATTTTAATGTTCAGAATATACAGAGTAGATTATTTGAATCAGTCTTCTATTTTTATTTTAAACTGGTCAGTGTGGTTTTGATATGTGTGTATAAATTAACCATTTCTAAATGAGTATAAACACTAGATCTATAATTCGAGGGAGAAAAAAGATGAAATAACCAAGGATTTTTGAATTATGACACTGCTTTATATATAAACTGGGTTTATCAACTATATGTGAGAATTAAAAACTATTTTTCAACTCTTTACTTCCTGATGTTATTATAACAAATGATGACCCAATAAAAACTACTGAGCACCTATTAAATGCTTGCTACTATGCTAGGTGCTTTAAAAACACTCCTTCTAATGTTTGTAACAAAATGCCTTGGCACTTTTTGACTATGAGCTCTCTGAACAAAGTATATTCTCACCAAAAGAAAAAAAACTGCTTGTTTTTAAAAGTCAATCTCTAACCGCCATCTATAACCACAGGTACTATTAAATGGAAGCTTACTATGTGCCACATGGCTGCATTATCTCACTGAATCCTCACAACATCTCCTGAGGTTGGGACTATCATTTCCTCCTTTTAAAGATGAAGAAATGGAGGTGCTAAAAGGTTTAATAACTTGCTTTAGTGACAACGGTACCAGAAGATCGGAGTTCCTAACCAATGCTACACTGCCTCTTGTCTATGAATGAAGGGCTTTTTATAAAAGAAAACGGCAAGTTTTCATATAATTTCTCCTTGGCATTCTTTACAGTAGAAACATACTCGGGAAAGGGACTCTCTTTGCTGCTATTTTCTGGGATATTTGTCATGGGAGAGCTACTAATATGTGTCTGACTCTGTTTTAGCAAAATAAGGGAGAGAAAAGGAAATGGAAATGGGGTTTGTTTGAGAAAACGGATTAGAACTTTTTCCCAAGTGAATAAAAGTAACAAGTAAAACGCTGATTTTGACCGATAAGAAAACACTAAGAGTTCTATGACTTCACAATAATAAAACGAAAATTAGGTATTTTGAGGCTTTGGAATTAGAATTTGGTGTTAAGAAATTTGCAAATCTACCCAGATCTGCTCCAAGAAACCTTAGGCTTCCTTAAGATCCGCGTTTGTTTGTTTGTTTGTTTGCTTTTCAAAGCTTTGAGCTCCGGACTCCATCCTTGTGATGAATTTAGACTCAAAACTCTAGGGCTTTTGTGGTGGTGGTTGCTTAGTTTTTCTCCGGGGTGAAAAAAAACAAACAAACAAAAAAAAAACCCACGAGTGTTTTAATTTTTCTTTTGCAGAATCGGGGCAGGAACAGAGGGAAGGAAAAATTAAGCGGTCCACAGCCAATCCGTATAATTTGAGGTTTTTCTCACAAACCCCTTGGGAGATTACACCGTGACCTTTAATCGGGAAATGGTAACTTTATTAAGTTTATCTGGTTGCCCTCTCTTCACTATCGCAGGGCGAGCCTCGTTTGTTTGCTTTCGGGGAGCCACGGCCCGAGAAACGTCCGAGCGTGCGGACCCCCCAGCCCACAGACCCGCAGGCCGCGACCTCGGGCGTGCGCTCGGCGGCCGTGGAGGCCGCTCGCGCGGGCGCCGCCGTGAGAACCCAGCGGGGTCGCCCGCGCCTGCGGACGCGCCTCGCGTGGGTCACCAGCCCCTGCGCGAGCAGCGCCGTGGGCTTCGGGCGCGGCCTCCCGGCCCCTGCAGCGGCCACGCAGGCCTGGAGGCGCTTCCACCGCCCCAGGCCCCCCCCGGGCTCCTGGCGGGGGGTCGAGGCCTCAACTCCGCCCCGGACGGTCCGGGCCTCGGTCCCGCCTTTCCCCGACCGGGAAAGGACTCCCGGCTGCGACGGGTGGTCGGCCTGGGCTTCCCCTAGGTCGAGGCTCCGAAAGGAACTGGGTCCCCCGTCGCCCAGACCCCCGCCGCCACGCGGCCCACCCGGCGGGGCCCTCGCCTCCTCACCTGGCCGTACTTGGCTTCCTGCTCCAGGGCTCCCTTCTCCAGCCCGTTCACCGCGTGCGGGCCGGCGGCCGGGAAGTTGTTCCGGCCCAGGCTGCTCCACTCCTCCACCTTGGGGCTGTGGTAGGGGGAGCTGTCGCTCACGCCTGGGGAGGAGGAGAAGGCGTCAAGCTGGAGATCCAACCCGCGCGCCCCCTCCTGAGACGCGGCCCGAAGCCGCGACCCGCGAGCTCCGGGGCTCCGACCCCTGCCCTCGACCTCCCGGGGGCGCCGGGCCCAGGCGCGGCCTCGCCGGCCTCCAGGCCCAGGGCCCGACGAAGTGTACTCTCCTCAGAGTAGGCCTCTCCCAGCTCTTTCACCCACGCCTGCGGGAAGATTTTTTTTTTCCCCCTTTTTCAGCAGCCTTTGATTTCCTCCTCCCCTCCTCATTCCCCCGGGAAATCGTACGAAAGGAACCTGAGAGTTTTCCTAAATCGAGGAATGAAACACGTGAAGCTGGATGCGCTGTTCGTCCCAGTCCTAACCCAGGGTCGACTTGGGATTGACGAAAACGCGGACAGAAAAGGGAGAGAGGAGCGTCCTTGGCCTAACCGTCCTTGGCCTGGGGCCGGTGCTCAGAGACATCCAGGAAAGTGCTCACGGTGCTGTGGGGATCTAGTACTTATGTCAGTAGATGAGACAAAAGACCTGCAAAGTCTTTTGCAAACAAATAACTACAAGATGCCCACAATGCACATGCAAAACATACATGCGTAGTTTGTCTTGTGTGTACATAATTTATATGTGACCACCTCTGATGCTCTATGTCTACACATTAAGTATGTGAGGTTATGTGCATATAACTTACAAAATAAATACTACAATTACCACTGTAAATGCCACCAGCGTCAGTGGTAAGGTTATAGAGAGAGGGTTGTTTTGTTTTATTTTGTTTTAATGAAATAAAAAGTTAAGGAAATGAAGGCAGAATTAAGTGTTTTTAAAAAGGGAGTAACGCTGTCTATCCTTTATGTTCTTAATAGAGATATAAAGAAAATTATATGCTATAAACTGATTACCACAATACCTAGAAGTGTGCCTACTGAATCACTGCCATCTCTAAATGACTGAATGCAGTTTTAAAGAAAAGATATTTGAAGACTATGAGCAATGTGTTTTTGTCTTTGGAACCTATAGGTGGAGGACTGAAGTTTTGACAAAGCCACTACAACCTGATTTTAAATACTTCCATCTGACACAGTGCTTTGATTTGTAGAAATGATCGTTTGTAGAAATGATCACTTATAGAAATAATCATTTTATAGTCACAGATTTGTCAGAAAACAGATTGTTTAAAGCTGGCATCCAGAATCAACAACATCTAGAATGAAAAGTTGCTCCTCTGCATATAATCCATTACTTTTCCAACTGATACTTGGTCTGATTGTAGAATCCCCAGGGAAGATCAACTCTGTCAGTCTTTTTTCCCTATCCCCCCCCCAAAGAATCAGATTGTGTTCCAATTTGCACCAGGAAACTGTGTTTTGGCAAAGAACTGCCAGTCTCTCTTTGCCTTCCCAGACAAAAGGCAATCGGTGGGCACAAGCCTGAAGTTATCTTAAGAAACTGAGATCCCCCTGTGAGCCCCCATTTCTGCTGATCTCACACTTTCCCATGAACAGGGGCTTCCTTTAAATGTCAGTGAGGTCAGTTTGTCCTATAAATCAAGGGCAAACTCTCTCCAACTAAAGCTCCAACCAGCTCCGAATAAGACAAAACTGAGCTCCTCAAAGAATCTTGTAAATTCACAGGCAGCAAACAAGAAGATGAGAAATCAGGGCTCTGCTTTAATTACTTAAAAAGATAATTGTGCCAATGTGGTGGCAACAGAAAAAGGCAGGAAATAATTAAAGGAACTATTCCCCCCCTTCCCTACTTAATTTTTCCCCTGCACTTTTTAAACTTTTGGCTAAGAAATTAAAACGGTGGGCTCTTATCTCTGTATTCTTTAAATTCTATGTCTAGGATATTTTGACTTTTTCCCCCTACCAAGAAAGAAGTTAATGCCAGTTTCTTTGCTGTTGTTGTTGTTTTGTTTAATTATGAAGTAAAGGAAAACAAAGTCTGGTCTGCGGAAGCCCAACTGTGCAGGAGGGCCCGGAGAATCATTCTTACCAAGCAGAAAAGACACTCGCTACCTGGCAAGGTCAAGGGTGAGAAAGGAAAGGAACAGTGGAGGTGGCACCGCAGAAAATGCAGGTACTAGATGTGCACTCGCATCCCCAGGGACCGGGGGACCCTCAAGGGAAGCCGCAGGCTTGGGGAAACCAGGAAAGAAGAGAGGACATGATGAAATCACCCTGCATTTTGTTCCCCTCACAGCAGCGGTTGGTGCCACTTCCTAAGATACATATAGTGAAGTCTGTTAAGGTAAAGGCCGGAGGTGGGGGTGATAGGAAAAAGAGAGAGGGGGAGAGAGAGAGAGAGAGAGAGAAATAAAGCAGAAAATTAGTCCCAGAAAGAGCAATGCAGTAACATGCAAGTTACTAGTAGTAACTTGGGGACCTCCGTTTCCGAGGAAAATGAAGTGAAGCATAAGAATGAAACCAATTAGGTGACATTTGAACTTCCTGCCTGAGCAAATTTGGCCTGATTGCCAGAATCCAAGAATACTGCAATTTCCACAGGGTGCCCGACTCCTCGCGGCCGCATCTGATCCCCAAACAAGCTGCCCGCAGCGGTGTCTGCAGCCAGCAGCCCCACGCCCGCTCAGGCCTCCCGGGCTGCGCCCCAAGTCCGACCCGGGCCGCGCTCTCCAAGTGAGCGAGCGGGTCTAAGGCTGCAGCGGCGCGAGAGGCGGGGGAGGGTGGAAAATGCGAACCATGTGTTGGGGATGGGGGGATGTTATGGGTCTGGTAGTTTGAGATGAGGCAGGAGACTGTGTGTGGCAAGGAAACGGAGGGCATGAATTTCAAGTTAATGAGATCAGAACACCCCCTGGGAGGACTCCTTAGTTTCCAAAGGAAAAAGCCTCAGGTGGTGGGATAGACCCGGGCCCGGAGGCCTCAGATACAGAGACACCAGCGAGGGTGCAGAGGGAGGCTCTGCACATCCACACCATCCAGCCCCTGAGCCCTTACCTTGGTCGGTGATAGAGCGAATGCCCAGGATGTCGGTGACGGAATGGGAGGAGGGCCAGGTACGGGGCATGGCCACCGAGCCGGGGATGGCAGGCACCCCGGGCGGCGTGGGCACCTTAGCTGCGGCCGCCGTGATGGGGCTGGGGTACGAGTAGATGTGGTTATACGGCAGCGCCGGCTGTGGCGCCGGCTGGTGCTGCTTGTATGAGTCGTAATGGCCCTGTTGAGCCAAGTTGCCGATCTTGTTGCGCAGGATGCGGCTGATGGAGCTCACCGAGGGCACGTTGTACTTGTCACACACGCCGTCCGCCAGCAGGCGGTCCCGGATTTCCCAGGCAAAGATGCCAGGGTCCCTTTGCTTGTAGGTCCGGATGTGCTTCACCACGGTGGGGGTGGTAACTCGGGGCTTGCTGCCCCCAATGGCTCCTGGCAAGATCGAGCCAGTCTCGTTGTAGCGCGCCAGAATCTTGCTGACGCAGCCGTGCGAGACCCGTAGCTGGCGGCTGATGTCACACGGTCTGATGCCCAGTTGGGCCAGTTCCACGATACGAAGCCGGATGGCGTTGGGCAGCGGCCTCCCGTTCACGAATACTCCTCCCAGCTGGTTCACCTCCCCAAAGGCTGGCTCTGCAAGACGAACACACGGCGCGCGGGGACGCGCACCGGCAGTTTGGGACAGCCGTTTACCACTCGGCCTCCGCCCACGTCAGAAGGCAGGGCAGACGCACCCACCCGGGACTGGGGACCTGGGCTTTTCCCAAACCCTACTGCCCCCGAGCCTTGCCCAATGGCCCCAAACCACTAAGGTCGAGTCGGACCCCCTCCCCCATTCCAGTGGTGTCTGCGGCCACTACAAGCAAATAAAGTGGTGAGACGCGGGGCCGCTCCAAGTGTTCAAAAGCCTCCGAAGCAGGCGGAGAAATCGGTCTTGACGCTTGCTACTAGCTCCTTCTCGGCTGCTCGGCGCTAAAGTCTCTGGGCTGATACCCCTCGAGCCCCAGCGCCCCGCCTGGGGCCTGGAGCAATTGGACAAGGTCTAGGAGAAACTACAGTTGGTTTGGATTTTTTTTTTTTTCCTGTTCTGAGTGCGTGCGTTTGTGTGAAACAAAACTTGGTCCGCACTGAGGCTACGGAGCTTGCTGATGCCACCGCTCTCTTCCTTTAATATCAGAAAATGGCATCAACAGCAACCCAGTAGCCAGCGTTGATACTGAACTGCTGTGTGCCCTGACCCTTAGTGTGTTTCTAACAACTTGTAGGAACACGAGCAAAGTCAATAAGAAGAGTGTGAGCGCTCAGTGGTGCGCGCCCTCGCGCTCCCTCCCTCCCTCCCTCGCCCTCTGGTTCCCTCCCTCCCTTCCCGGCTCTGACAGCGTCCCCCGCCGCCACTCACCCATTGCTCCGAGCTGTACACCAACGGGGCCCCAGTTCCAAACTCCCAAAAAGAAACTTTTCGCACAGCCTCAGTGGCCCGGCTTGTCGCTGCCCCGGGCAGCCGGTGCCTCCGCTTCTTCCCGGGAGGAGGCGGCGAGAGTGCAGAAGGAAGGAGTAAAAGGAAGTCTGTGCCCCGATGAAAGAGGCTAGAGTTCTGCATTTCAATCTAAGCAGCAACGTGGGCTGGCCTGAGCTGGGCCGGGCTGCTCCGTCTATCACTCACTGGTGACACGCCCTCAAAGAGGAGGGCCCGAGGTCAAGCTGCGTGGTGATTGGTGCGGGCCGCTGAGCGACAGTGCAGTCCGGGAAAGTCCTTCCGCTGTCTCTTTCAAGCTTGCTCTGCACCTGGGTGACTAAATACAAAGAAAATGGGTGTTTGACACCTTCCTAGGGGCAGCGCAAACAGACAACAAAATCAAGCTGATAAAAATGCTGAATAAGCAAATGAAAGCATTTGGTAGGAATATGAGAGACTCTAAGGGGGAAGGAGTTGAGGAGACTTGGGGGGAGGGGAAAACAGACGCCTCAGAATTTAAGTTAAAACTCTAGGTGGGAGGTGGGGGCCACCGTCAGGTGGGGGAGGGGGGTGCTTCTTAGAATAGCCGGTCTTGCAGACCTCCAGGGGCTGTCTGGAGAAGGACGCTATTACCGGGGGATGATACCTCCTCACTCCAGCCTATGCCAGGTGGCGAGAGCTCAGGTGTGAGACGGTAGGCCGATCGGAGAGACCAGGAGGTTAAGGGGAGGCCGAGCCAGAGGTGGAAGCCACTGTGACCTCCAGGTGGAGACCCCTCTCCTGCTCCCGGGACTAGCCCCCCCCCAACGCAGTTTCTGGTGGGTTCATCCAGGAGCGCGGAGCCAAACCTTAGCCACGCAGGCTCCAGGATGTGGCCGCGCGCGATATGCGGAGAACTGAAGCACACGCGGCTAAAGCTAGCTCACAGCCAACGTCGACGATTGCCTGTGCGTGAGGCACTCTCCCGGGAGGCCAGCGCGCCACTGCGCTCAGCCGGGTTGCTGGTCTGCTGGTACTTGATGCCAAGGTTTCCCGACTTCCCCTCACCAGCGAACCGCAGCAAAAGGGTTTTGTTTAATGAAAGAGACTTGGTCCCAAGAAAGTTGAACACCGAGCCTGCACATCTATGTAATTCCCCTGTCTTCTGTTTAGCTACCAGAGGCCCTGAGAGTCAGCCTACTTCTGAATTTTCACTTTTGATCACTAAAGTGATCACTAAGTCTAAAGTGTACAGTACTCTTTTTGGCAGCCAAAGTTCATCACATTTTGAGTATGGGTTATGGAGAACACTAATCAAGATTAAAAAACAAGATGGGGAACATCTTTAATGAACTTGGGTGTGTGGACTGCTTCAGGTCGAGGATATTGATACTACTACTTCTTGTGCACACAGGATTCCTGTTGATCCTCCCACAGTCCTGAGGGATGTGAGTGTGGCTCTGGTCTACTACATACAGGGAAGCTGACTGGGCCCAGATTCCCCGCCAGTAAGTGACAAGAAGCCAGAAAAACGAATGATCATCTGTGCTTTTTGAAACGAAGAGCCACCTCCAGATCCTCATGCTTCTGTGGTTGGGGCCGCAGTCTAATTTCAAGTTTATAGGTAAGAAGAATGAAAAGATAAAGATTCATTCAAACACCCTTAATTCTTTTAGAAGTTTCACAGCTAGAAATACTTGAACTTGTCTTTTTATTTGTTTGTTCCAATTGTTTAAAATCTCGCAGTTTGACTTGATAGCGATTTCACCCTGGTCTGACCCCAAATACTTATTGTTTGGCACCGCCTGGTATTTTACCACGCAGAGGTCCTTGGAGAATCCAAGATTTTTAATACAGCAATTCTTTCCTGGGGATTGGGTGCAAATTAATTGAGACTGAGATATCAGAGAGGTGCCTATGGCTGAGGCTTCTGTGAAAGATTGAACATGCTGGGCTTCTCGATCAAGAAGCTCTCTGACCCCTCCCCCCACAGACACTCGCAACTACCTCTGGCGCGGACTCGTGCACCCAGTGAGCTCCTCGCGGACTTTGCTGGGCTGCAGTGTCGGTAAAGGGAGGTTCCACCTTCTGGCTGGCAAGACCCGGTGCCCGGATGTGGGTCTATGCGCTCTATGAGGGTTTTAGTGCTTCTACAGCACCAACCTGGAGCGATCCAAAGACTGGCCCATTGTTTAGAGCTCCTGCTAGGTGGACCTAAACACAAATCCCTCTCGTTTGCCTCTAAACTCCTTCAGCTGCCTGACATGACCCGTGCTCTCAAACAGGTCTGCTACTATCTCTCCATTTCTACCTGTTGGACTTGGCCGCGGCGGCCCATTATCTTTGTGGCGCACCCCTTCTCCCCGCTCCTTGGAGCCCGGCAGGCGGTCATCACGCCCCCGGGTTGCGGGTGTTCCGTGCTTTCAGCTCAGCGCATTCCCAACAGCCCACGAAGAATCGTCGGTGCTTGGGGACACTAAGAACCCGCGGCAAACTGAGGCCCGAGCTTGGGCGGCAAAAGAAGTCGAAACTTCAGGGGACAGATCGAGGCGAGGGATCCTAGAGGAAGGTGCTGATGCTGAACCCTCCCAGGGCCGCACACTGAGTGCTATGGTCAGGTAGCAGGCAAATCGAAGAGCCCGAGCGAGAGATAAGTGACCTGAAAAGGGGAAAGAGGACTCGAGGGCTAGAGGCGGGCAGGCGGGAGGGAGAGAGAGAGAGAAACCTAAAGGGCCGGTAAGCCTCGACGGTGGGCCTAGGGATGCAGGACTTCGAGAAAGAGCCAAGGGGCAGCTGGGGCTAGCGCTCCCTGGTTACTACCCGCTGCGGACCCGGGAGATTACAAAAAGATCGGAAAAATTTTCTACTAAAATAATTTCTTCTAAAAGACCAAAACCAAAACACAACCAGTAAGGCCTGCAGCTGACACAGGCCGGGGAGAAGCCAAAAGCCCTTCCCAGGGTGCTGTCGAGGCCTCCTCCAAGAGGCTACCCGTTCTCTGGGTAAATATTTACTCAGTGGGAGACTGGAAGCTAGCGGGGGAGGGTGGGAAGGAGAGGGCTACACGGGGTGGAGAGAAACCCTAGCTCGACACCGGCGGGGACAGACGTGTCCACGGCCCAGAGGGGAGCCAGGCCGGGGACTGCAGGGGCGGCTCGGCCCGGGCACGCGGCTGGGGGAACTTTAGCTCGCATTGCACCCCTTGGGCTGGACTCCTGCCCTGCCACTGCGGGCCCAGGCCAGATGCTGTAAAGTCTTCATAAATCTGTCAGCGGTCGCAGTGCCGCGGACGGTAACCTGTGGCGCCCCCCTCTCGGCACTAGCGGGATCCGAGGAGAGACGACCAGAATCTACCTCTTTCCGAGGCCGCCCTCGCGCAGCCCGGCAGACGGCGCCCGGCGCCCGCCCGGGGACGGCCAAAGTGGGACCCCGGCGCTACAGGCTGTTGAGGGAAGGGAACTCTTCCCTAGCTCTGCAACCCTGACCGACGCCCTGGGCGGCTACCCGGGGTCTGCAGGTCAGCTACGACAGCGGCTGGGGGCTAGAATGAGAGAGGGCGTGCGTGTGCGCGAGAGAAGGGTCCTGCTGCTCCCGGTTTCATTTATGAAGAGCAGAATTGCCAGAGAAGAGCATTAAGGGGCAGATTCTTCCAACTTGCCCTCCTCCTGGGGACAGGACCCCGGGCAGGCACAGGCGACGGTGCCCACTTCTCGCCCTGCCCAGGGAGCTCCAGGGAAGGAGAGGAGGCAGGGTCTGAGCTCCGGGACGGGTTTTCGGAGCGCAGTGACTTCTTCCAGCCTTGTGAGGAGGGAATGAGATAGAAACAAGATCTCGAATCCGGTTCTCCCAAGGGAGCTGTTTCAGGGTAAGTGAAAGATTGAGCGCGGCGTAGAGAAAAAGAGGCCGGACTTCAGTCCTCGCCAGACTGCGCTGCTAACGCCGGGGCCACGCGTTCCAACCCCGATCTGCCCACTGCTCGGTCCTGGCCCCTCGGGCTCAGCGGCCGCTCCTCCGCCTACTCGACCTCCCACTGCCCGCTGCGGCACGTGGCAGCCGGAAGCGCACCCTGTGCCCTAGGCAAGCGAGGTCCACCCGGAGCTGCGGGCCAGGCGGGATCAGTGCGTGGAGCCGCGGGCGGAGTCGGGAGCGGCGGCTAGAGGGAAAAGCTTTGGGGCGAGGGAGAGACAGACCGCCAGGGCCCTCGGCCCCAGCCAGGCCCCCTGGGTTTGGGTGTGGGGATGCCCACACACTGACCTGCAGGCCTGGACTAAGCCGGGCTGCGGACGCCTCGGGACGAACCAGCCCAAGTGGAGGCGGGGGATGGGGGAGGCGGCCCCCAGAAGGAGCCCAGAGGATTCACCGAGAATCGCCAAAGCCTCCCTGCAGCCTCTCCGCCTTCCTGCCGACGATGCTTACGATTCAAGACCCTTTCCCCAGAGGGCGGCATCAAGCAGGGTCCTGCCAGAGCGCGGAAATCCCTCTGCGGGCCGTGGGATGGGCCCCCGGGGCCGAGAGCGCTCCTCACCCGCTTTCTCTTTCCAAGGGCAGGGGAGGGGCCTGTTGCCGCCCGAAACCCGCTTTTAATTCCCCGCCTGCCTGTTTCCGATCACCCGGGGTTGGTTTTTCTGTTTGTTCACTCCTTCTGTTACAATAAAAACAATCGACATTTCTTTTCAGTTTCCCCATATTAGCGTCACTCAGTAATTGTTCTCCATCCCCCTCCCCCCGCGTTGAAGGCGAACTGGATTGCTGGTACCCTCGCATTGGAAGGTTTCCGAGTATATAAGCAAATCTTCCCTAAAGACTTTAAAGTAAAAATAAATAACGGCCCGGGAAATTGCCATGACCCTAACATCACTTTCTGAATGCAAATTACACCCATTTTTCAGTTTTCAACAGCGGAATTGCTTTCAGAAGGACGGCGCGGAGCCCCATGTGATATGGTTACATTTGTTTATTAAATCCGCAAATGAAAGAGAACTCATTTTTTGTGCAAAGGGCAAAACTT